ACACACACACAAATACACACTCACTCTGCTTACGTCTGAAGGAGCACTCAAATATCTTCTGTTCATCTGACGCACAATACTACAGCCAAAATATTTATTCCAACTAAATGTTGCTTCTTTGTGATGGAGAGCGTGCTCAGCTCACTCAGCCAAGAGATGTTTTCATTTGTGAATCCATTCATGAGATCTGTCCAAGCGGCCTATTGTTTGTTACCTTGGTGAAGCTTGTGCAAATGCCTCACGTAATCAGCTGACCTTATTAGCAAGTGAAAGGAGCCCCTCTTTCCATTACATTATACATTCAGTCATGTTCAACTGGGGCATTTGGCCATGACAGTATTCTGTCTGTGGCAGGTCTCTGCCTATAGCTGGCCTATTTAGGATGCAACTACACAATCTCCAGCAGACCTAATTTATTTTAGTTGTGGGTGTTGAGCCATTACATCAACACGATGAGCGTAAATCAGACCAGCTTTCCAATTATTCCATCATCATTTTATTTTTTTATTTTTTTCGGCTTTTATGCCTTTATTTGATACCCTGGGCCGCTGCAGCAAGGACTCAGCCTTGGTACATGGGTCGCCAGCTCTACTGAGCTAACCGGGCGCCCTATTCCATCATCATCTTGATTTATTAGAAGAATTAGGATTTACCCTTGCTAAGTCCTGCTCCTTTTTAGAACTAGGGATGCATGATATGTTTTATTTATTTTATTTTTTTTTTTTTGTACAGCCAATACGATAACCCATAAGTATCTTAGACTTAGACTTAAAATCCATGCTTAAAGTTATCAAAAAATAAAAAGAATCAAAAGTGTGAAGTAAAAAAAAAAATTGTCTTGTTTACAACACAATAGAAAACATCTTTAACCATTTTGCTCTTTCTATCCTCTTTCATTTTAAATTGACTCTGGCTCTTTGCTGCTCCTTGCAGGAGATTGATGCGTTTGTCCAGGAGTTCTTGTCTGTGGTCCAGCGGCTGCCCTCGTACATCTCCACCCTGCAGACTCTGTCCCGGCTGCCTCTCCCCTCCACCTTCAGCGAGCTCCAGCACTTCTGCTTCACAAACGAAGCCAAGTTCCAGCAGCTCAGGAGGTCAGGCTGTTGTTTTTCTGCTCCTCCTGTAGGCCATTCTTAGTTCACTAAATGGTGTGACTGCATTAAAAGAAAAATAATATAATGACAATTTCAGCATGGCTCATTTCTACATGTGATATGATGATATACACTGATCAGCAACAACATTATGACCACCTGGGCCAATTCATTATATACTGATATATTCAATGTATTTTGAGATTTTATTGTATGATCAAGCAATCGATTCTTTTGGCATTATGGCTGGATTAAGGTGCCAAAATTAGATTTTTCATAGTTTCATATACCTTACTTTGAGAAATATCAATCTTTTTTTTTCTTTTTTTTGAAATTTAAAAAATGTCATGCATAACTCCTAAAATAATTATACCATAATAAGTTCAGTAAAAATTGCAATTGACAGTTTATGGCAACCATTGCATTGAAAACTTGCACTGCAGTAAAACCTCTGGAAAACAGTTTTGTCATTCTCAGTGGCAGGGAGGCAACTGTAGTCAAAGATCCTCAGTGAAGCACTAGCCCATGTTAGTCACTAAATTGTGTGCATCTTATCAAAAAGTCATGGTTCTATGCAACTTTTTGTTACTTCACAATGACACCTTCTGAAATGTAAGTGTTTTTTTTTAGTGATAAGGTTGTGCTATAGTGTACCAAAAATGTTTTGCGCTGGTCAGGGGGTATCCACCTTTTATTAAAAACTTTTGGGAACTACTGAAATAAAAGATAACTCCAGCTTGTGAGGTCTGCTGTTGCTTGTGCAGACCCCATGAAAACCAGTAAACACCCTCACTTATCATTGTTGCAAGTTTTGTTGCGACAGTGTTCTCAGGGATTTAACCACTTGAATATGAACATATTGGGAACTTGAATTTCTATCAAACACAAGGTCATTCGGAGGCAGCGGAGCATTGAGAATGACACTAATTTGCGGGATTAGAAAACAGCTTTTGTTCAGACACCACTGTGTCAACTGGAATATACTGAGTACTAGTGTTTTCTGCACTAGTAACAAAGCACACCACCAGTGCAGATTACAGAACAAAGAAACAAAACACTAAATGTCCCTTTACCCACTACACCATCTTCAAACTAGCCTGCATTAAAGCTGCAGTAGGTAACATTTCTTTTTCCACTGAGCCTGAACAAAACAATTAGAACTGAGGAAGAGAGTTGATTGTTGAGTCTCATTCCCAGGTTATTAAATACCAAAACTTTGGGCCCTGGAAATGAGACTCAACAATCCACTATCTTCAACAGTAGTGTCTTTCTGTCTTACTCTGTTCTGATTGGTTGTTTTCATTCAGGCCCGGTGAATTCTTGCAAATGCCATGGCATGCCAAATGCACTAGAATGATATTTTTTATTTTTATCTGAAAGTTTCAGTAAATATCAGTTATTTTCTAAAAGTAACGTACTGCAGGTTTAATATGTTTTGGTAAATTTGCAGGGAGCTGGGGCTGGATGAACTGCTGAGGCACTGTGAGAGTGTGGTGGAGAAGCTGCGTTACCCTGAGAAGGAGCCGTGCTACCAGGCGATGGCTGGCACTGCCCTCTTCACTCACACTGCCTTCGATATGCTCCAGAATCACTGCAGGTACTGTGAGCCGTCGGCTTTCAGAAGGCTTAGTCACAGGGGAGACTACTGTGCTCAAATGCCTTTATCTTAATCCTCTGCAATAACACTTCCCCACGCATACCATACAAAAATGTTGCAACGGTCCTTTGTTGCACAACAGCGGCAGCACAGTGCAAGCATGAGTTTGACCAGTAAGGTTTTTGTATGCTGAAAAATGTGAATCTAAACAATTGTGTTAATCTGACATTTTATGGTAGTTACACTCATCAAAAGTGATTTGGTTTTATAAATGTGACTGTTTTCATGGCTTAAAGTCACAACTGCTTGCTCTGTGATTGTCTGTGTTGAACTAGAAAAGTATGGAAGAGCATTTAGACTGTCCCATCCAGTGTGGTAGGATTTAGTGGCATTTAGGTGTGTAGTTGCAGATTGAAGCTCCCTCGCTTCGCCCTCCCCTTCCAAGCCTGTAGACTCCTTTTTTATGCCTGAATGTCACAGCCTGCAAAACTCTGCCCCAAATGTCTGATAACTGAACCAAATGCGACCAAATTAAGGGTGACTGTGGCTCAGGAGGTAGAGCAGGTTGTCCACTAATCAGAAAGTATGCAGTTTGATCCCCAGCTCCTCCTGCTGCAGTGTCCTTTTTAGAAAGATGTTAGGCATGGGACGGGAAAATTGCATGTCCTGACTATCTTGACTAAAATAATTGCGATAAATGATATGAAAATATACTTTAAACTTTAGAAACGGCACTCAAATTTTCAAATGTGTAGGAACTCGTTTAAGAGGAAACTCATTTAATTGCATTTAATCAAGACCAGTTTCAATAAACATGAGTCCATTCATTTTGGTATTGTAAGGTGTTTGGGCTAAAGCAACCATTAGGGTTGAGCAAGTACTCTGCTGAAGTAAGTTTCCAGTACAGATTAGGTACTTTTTCCAAATGTATATAAGAGTAAAATGTGTACTCAATGGCAACAAGCCTATAGCAATATAGCAACTTTAATTTAAAAAATAAATCGTAAATAGTTTTCTTACTCTTGTTATCAAACAAGTTGCTGGTATAAGCACCACCCCCAATGCATCTTGAGCGCTGCCCATATGGAGTATAGATACAGATAACAGTGTTGTTGCTCATCCTGACTAAATGGCATACATTGTGGTGTAATGGATTTTAATTGATGATGCCGGCTGTTGGTTAAAGGTTTCTTTGTTTTTTCCAGGATAACTGAAGCTGTGGAAAAAGTGGAGCTGCTGTGGCAGCAAGCCTTTTCTAAGGCCCATCTCCAGCTGCAGGTGTTCCAGCTGCGAGAGGACACACTGCAGGTGAGTCGGCCGACAGCTCTTTGTGTGTTGCTTCATATGGGCTCCTGTGAACGCTGTGAGTCAGCCTCTAGTGGGGACTAAACAGGGCTGAGACCACCTGAAATGTGGGGCCACAGTCAAGCAAAACACACTAACCACTGGATTTTATGGTGGTAGGTAGGGGATTTTAGCATGAATTAAAAAGCCAGTGGGCCTGTTATTAATTCTTGTGCTTCTCGTTGAGCCTTCAAGTATTTTAACATGGCTCTCCTTCCTTTTTATAAAAGTATGGTGATGACCTTAAACCAACATAACATAATAATAAACCAGCAATGGTTAAAATGTCAGGCTACCTCTATGAACTCGATGTGTTTGCTTCTGCTTACAGATCACAGAGCAGATAAACACTCTTTTTCAAGAGAAACTCCAGCCTTACAAAATAGAGATTGCCAAGGATGCTGCCAAGGCGGTGCTGTTGGTGTCCGAATTTGAGGCATCAATTCACACCCCTGCTATGGTATTTATTTCTATTCTTTTTCTTATTTCTTTTCTGGTACTTTGCTTAGTGTAACATGTATGATGATTTTAACAGTTTAACACTGAAGTGTCTTTGTTCCTGATTAGGTTGGATATCTATCAGTCACATATCTACTGTAACATATTCTGTGATTTAATTTTGTTATTGTTTTTTGTCAGTACTGTTGTCCACCTCACTTGTATCTTAAATAATTATATAATAATAAATTCCTTCTCACCCGTCTCCTACCAGGCACTTGTTCGCTGCGCTGAAGACGTGATCCACACGTTGGCGGAGATCCTACCGTTAGATGGCCAGACCAGCGAGCGCTGGCTTCTGGATCTGGAGAGGCTGAAGGAGAAACTCCACTCTGCTGTGCACTTCAACCTTCAAACCCTCAGAGCAGTTTCCAGTTACCGTCACTACTACAACAAGGCAAGCACTTGAGGAAGCTTAAAAATAGTCATGTCTTAGAGCTGTGGTCTAGAAATGTATATTCAATCTTTAATGTGAGAAATTGAATCTCACAAACTGCCTTTGTTTTTTTTTATCTGTCATTCAGATGAACCAAAATTTTCTTTTTGAGATCTTTTCAATTGCATGTGAGATGTTTGATTTGTTACACTTCAAAAAATTAGGAAGATTTTAATTTCACTCTCATATCACTGACTAGAAGTAAGCCCAATGAATCTACAGTTAAGACAGTTATGGAATAACTAAAGCTTATCAGATTGCAATCCACAGCCAGCATCGTATCAATTTATGGGTCCTTGACACCAAAACGTTTGAGGGCCACTGGTCTGGGTGATTTAAAAAGTTGAGGTGCTGCAGCAGACTCCCACCCTCAGGTAGATGAGGTGTATGACCTCTAATGGTCCCTATCACCCACAATATTTTCTGTTTGAACTATTGTGAGTATTTCTGAGCTTTTTGTAGTGTCCTATAATTTGCTGATCTTTAAAAAAACTTTACAAACTGTATAGTTGTACTGTTTTCACTGACTGTCAATGTTGTGAGGGGTTTTATGAAAGTCTTCTGCACAAAAATGTGCCTGTAATGCTGTGGTCTTATTAGCTAAATTACAAATGATCATATCAGAAAAATATTGAGTGTTGCGTTAGGATCATACATACATACATACATACCATACATAGCATACATACATACATACAACAGCAGCCGCTCATAAAATTTTTTTAATGATTCACAAACAATTAGATGAAGTCTGCCTGTGTCCCCTTTTTGAAATAAACAATAATACACAATTTTACTATTCTTGGAAAATAAATGTTTATTTCATTTAGTGTGACCCAATACTGTCCACTACTGTTCCTCTCACAGGCCAGCATCTGGTACCGTCTGGTCCTCTGTGAGAACTTCCTCCAGGAGCTGCTGTCGGGCGTTAACGGAGACGGCGCTTCCACGCAGAGGCAGAGGAAGAACTGGGGCACAATCCCTGCATGGAGGCACAAAATGTCCACTTTCCTGAAGAAGAATCCCCCCCCAGATATGGAGGAGCTGGTTCATCTGGCTCATCTGTCTAACGTCGTCCCAGATGATGAGGTCCAGCAGGCGGGCAAACAGATGTCCCAGCGGTGAGGGACCATTTACTTTCATGTCTCGATATTTGTCTTACAGTTTCTTTTAGGTGTGGGAAATATTTGTCCAGGACAATGTTGCGGGATGGTCTTGGCTCGTCATCCATGCTGGCTACATTGTAAAATAGTTGAAGTATGCTTCAGTTTCTCTTTTAAATTTTTCAGAAAATATCTGTATCGCCCACTCATAACATGTTTACTACATCATCTCCAACAATTGACCCTTAAGTCCCTCCCCTACACAGCTAGCTAAGTACCTACATGATTGTTAGCTAGTAAGTACACATTTGAACTAATGCCTAGCCAAATGCTAGCTAATTACGCTAAGTAATTTACGCAATCACATGTTAAGTTAATGTTAACTTAATAACTAACTTAAACGAGTCACTATATAATGTAGCTTTTATTTTTCCTTCTTGACAATTTGGTTGTCTTTAAACAGTACAGGAAACGGAAGAAGTTGACAGAGGTTCTAACCGAGGCAAGCTAAACTGTTATTGGAGCACAGAGCGAAAATGCAATGCATTCCTATCCACACATCTGGTCCTCGTCAAGATCTTAGTGTGTGTATGTATGTATGTATGTATGTATGTATGTATGTATGTATAATTTTTATTTTTATTTTTATTTTTTTTTCATTCATTAGGTGTGTGACCCTGAGGAAACTCCTAATTTCTTCAGGACCTGTGGCAGTCAGTCACCTTAAGCTGGCCTTACAGTGGCAGTATGAGTTGTTGCGGAGCAGCCATATACATCATTCCTTTGCTCACAGTGCTACAAATGGAATGGATGTTCCAGACCTCACAAAAGGTGATAGTGGTAAGGAAGCGCCCCATCTTGGAACATCTCCTTCAACTGCAGTTTCTAGGAATGCGCCGGCCGAGGGCAAACCCCTCTCCCTCAGCTCATTCGACTCAGGCTTCGATGGAGCTGGGAGCAGCCAGCTGGAGGCCTGGGGAGGGAGGGAAGGAGTGGAAGGTCTGTCAAGATTAGGGACCAGGGACTCTGTAAGACCGGCCTTGAGCCAGCCTCAAATCCACAAAGAGAATATGTCCAGTGTTTCAGATTCTGAAAATAACAAAGAGGAGTTTGACTTTGGCTCTGTGGGAAACTCGTCCAGGGCCAGCATCCAGATCATCCCTAAAGTAACTGTGGAGTCCCTCAACTTTGAGATCAAAGTGAAGCGCTCTGCTGCGTTACCCAGTAATCCTTGGCTTAGCTTGCCGGTAGACGATCTGGAAAACTCTTACACAGTTACTATTAAACAGAACCCAACACCACAAAAGAGGGACCTACAGCTCCACGATCCCTCAGACCCCCAAGGTGATGCCAACCACTCCAACAGGTCTCGAGATCAGCCCACACAAACAGAGGTGTTGACTAGCACACAGGCCAGAAAGCCACAGAACAGGGACTGGATACTAGATTCACAAAGCAGTTTGGAGGATCCTGAGCTAAGTTCCATTTGCAACATCCTGTCCAGCACTATTACAGACGGAAGAGATAAGTCCATCTGCACCACAGAGGGGATCCCCACTCTCCTCTGGGATTCTTATGACCTCCATGACCAGAATCCGGATTCTGTTGATGGGTAATGCATCTGTAGCACTTCTTCAAAAATATGCTTTGACCTAAACTATTTGGTAGAAGGGTTAATTTTTCTTTATTTTGTACAGGATTGAGAGAGAGAGAGTAGTTTACAAACAGTCATAGTAGCGCAAAAGAACCCTGTCAACTGAGTGCCCCCACCCCCTTAAGGTGGCTATGCATGTCAAGCTTTCCATTCTAGCGTGTTGTATTTATTTTATTTTACTTTTTGTGGCTTTATTCACTGAGCAGTGGAGAAAGAAGTTCACAACAAAGCTGTAGAATTCTCTCTAACCAGAGTGAGTTTGTGGCCAGAATTCTATACAGGGTTACAGGAAACAATCACGATACAGAAAAGGTGAGGGCCGGGCTCTCCCTCACAATAGATCAAAGGGTTTTACTCACAAGGATCTGTTAATCAATGAAAATAGTTTATCTCAAGACAGCTCACTGTCCTACACAATGGCAGGTAGTTGTGTGTTTTACTGCTTAGGTGTTAAAAATCTACATATTGGTGAAAGAATGAATGTTCAATGACAATCCATAAATATCTGCAGCATCCATAAATATATGCAGGGCTTATTGTCATGCACCAATCATTTGTACTTTACAGGAGATTCTACTGTAGATTAGAAACTACCATCCTTACAAAAGTTAAAAAAGCTAAAAACTGCATACTGGGCTGTTAGTTCTCAGTGGAACTGACTGCAGTCATCAACAGTGTGGCATTAGAGGATGTCATTTGTTGGTTTGTCGAACTTTGATAATGTATTGATTTGGCTAAAAGAAATGACCAAATGGCACTTTCCATGCTTTTCTAGGTTGGTTGATCTCTCCCTAAAGGACTGGGATGTGAAGGAGCAGGAGGGTCTGAAGGAGGTGGAGAAGATCCTGGACAGGGCTGACGAAATACTGGAGGTAAGAAATGCACAGTTGGACAGGTGGATGATTGCTACCACTTAAGGCTGCAACTAGTGATCATTCTTAGTCTTTAAAATATCAAATGTAACATCAGCTGCCATTCAGAAGTTACAGAGCCCAATGAGTGTCTTGATTTCTTAGTTGAGCTGTCAAATAAACGTCTTTGTCTACAGAGAGAAGAACATGTTCTGGCTCAGGAGGCGGTGTTGGATGCTCTGCTGAGGTCTGAGGACAGGCACAATCATTGGCCTCTGTGGGACAGCGAGGACCAGCTCGGTGTAGTACGTAAAGGATACTGTAGATTAAATTGTATTGTAAATGGAATTTATCAAATGGAATCAGCGTTTTTTTTTTCTTGTTTTTTGCATTCCTGAGGGTGGTGGGTTTTTTCTATCTTAGGCCCTCACTGGTCATACAGTTATCATCAAATTTTTGTTTTAATAATTTCAATTTGAGATTTCTTATTCCAGAAACATTTGAAACATTTGTCACAATGATTAGGGACAAAATGCCCCATCAAAGTAAGTTTCACTAAAAGCTGTTGTTTTAGACAACATTATAGAAAGGATCCCTACAGAGAGAGACCAGAAACAACAGTTTCTATTGCTTGCCACCAGACTCCATAGACTAACAGTGATTTTATCTCACATATCATAATACTTGACTCAAGGTGTGTGCACTTTGAATGAAGATGAAGTTAAAATAAAACTCACCAAATCCATGAAACTTTTCACTTTCAGCAGATGAATGTGAAAAACATCCCTTCTAGTGTCAAACTCTGCACAGACCTCATTCAAACATCATACTGTAGGAACACTGATTTCTGACTGGAGGGAGGCTTTAAAGAAATATGCAGCCACACAAGATGTTACTTACATGTTTGTACAATACCTGAACATACCCGTTTTCAACACTGCACTTCCAGTTGCTTTGTTTAGGACTTTAAGACTTGTCAGATATTAGTCATTATTTTTGACTAAGTTGAAGGTAGGGCTGTCTGCTCTGTCAGAGACTCTGGATGGAAACAAACAGTTCCATTGTAAAAAATTTAAATCAAACTTGTCCAGCTTATGCTGTATTTGTCAGCGACTGTGACTTGAGAACAAATGTCCATCTTCATTGACCTACAGTTTATACACCCAGTGTTGAGTGTTTGCTCATTCTGCTTTCTCTGCTCATTTTTAAAGATGTCATCTAGCGAGCTGGCTGAAGCAGGTGTTCTTGGCCTCGAGGATTTCCTTGTCCCTGCAGAATCTGACAACCTCAGTGAACCCACATCAACTGCATCTGCAAGTGAAGCTAAGGCCTCTGATGATGAAGCTCCCACAGGAGCAGATGAAGCGGCATTTCCCAGCAGGCCGGACCTGTTGACGGAACTGAGAAAAGTCCGCGTGCTGGACAAGCTAATTGTGGAGGAGAACCTGAAGATTCACCAGCTCCGACGCTGCAAAGAAACACCCAATGAGGAACTCTCCGAGAGCAAACTCCCAGATACAAACGGGCTGTCGAGTATGCGCAAAGAGAGGGAGGCTTTCCGGTTACAGCTGGAAAGGGAGAAAAGGGAGGTGGAAAAGCTCGAGAAGAGTTTGGGCAAAGAGTGTAAAGTGAAGAAGCACAAGGACAGAGCGAGAAGGGTTGTGAAATGTTCTATAATGGAGAAGGGTAGAACTGAGAATAGGGAGGACCAAGTGCTCTGTGATGAGCTTTTATCAGGGAGCTGTAACAGATCACAGAGAACATATTCCTTGGTCCAGAAGGATCCTCAGGCTCAGGATAGCAGTACAACTGAACATATTCAAGCAGTATTGGGTCATCATGATGCTAAAGAGGCTACACTACAAGACTTACTTCCAGATTTGCAGTGTCAGGATCACTACTCCGAAGCTGAGCCATCAATAATTAATGAAACTGTCTTGATAAGTGCTTCTGATTTGAAGGATCCTCCTGAAGAAATTCAGGTATGTATCAATGGGAAAGAATTTGGCAGATCTGGTAAAAGCGCTACCATGTGCAAACCAGAACCATCCCAAACCCCTGAGATGAGGCCAGATGATGGAGCGTTTGACCCAGGTGGAAAATCACACCTTCCTTCTGTGCCTAAGCCAAGAAAGGCTTCGCTTTCTGTGAACGGCGACCTCGCAGGACAAGGAATTCCTCATTCCACAGAGCCGCAGTCACCAGTTACTCAAAATCTCGCTATTGTGCAACCTGCTCTACAAGATAAACCACTTGATGCAGTTCCAGAGAACCTGACTCCAGCCAGCAGCCACAACTTTGCTTTCAATCCAAATGTGAATGAACACAGCAACAACAACAATAACAACCATGCGCTCCCAGATAAATGCAAGTTGTCATTAGATCTGTCTGAAATAAGCACTAAAACTGAAGAGGATGAATCTTCCTCAGTGGTACCAGATTTACACCCAGCAGAGGGAATCCAGACTGTACCTCCTGTAGATGAGTGCACACATCAACAGTCGGCACCAGAGCTACCTCCTGACCAGCCTCTGGAGTTTGAGCCCAGTGGAGGAGAACACTTGACTGATGGTTTTCAGAGCTCCGGGTCCATAAGGGTGTCAGGCTCTGGGTCATGTGGGATTCAGGCCCAGCTTAACATCAGCACGAGAGAGGTAGGGGTCTACTGTGATATGTGGCAACTTTTTAAGTCTTTGAAGTCCCTCAGTTGAGAGCCTTCATATAGACCTTTCAGTGTATCTCACATTCATTAAATAAGACTTATCCTTAGTCAAAGGGCAGATGCTGTCTTAGGCCCTCGTGGAAACTTGGTAGTAACACAGAAGCTTTTCTTAAGGATACAATTCAACCAGGAAATCAATAATCAATAAAAATCAATACTTCACATTTGTCCTTCACGTTTGTGCTGCAGCTGGATATACTTGCTGCTTCCAGTCTTTATACTTAGCTGGGTTAACCACAGATTGACTCCCTCTCCTCACTTAAACACACAGACACGAAACTGATATCAGTCTTCTCTTCACAGTCTTGGAAGGAATGCTAATGCGAATATTTCCTGCGATGTCATAACTATCAGAGTGAAATGTGACTAAAATGAATGATTAATTAATATTTTTTCTCTACATGGCTGCAGATGACAGATTTCAAAACCCCCATAGTACTGGATACAGGGTCTGGTTTGATGAAAGCAGGATTTGCAGATCAAGACCTCCCCAAAATTATATTCCCAACAATTATTGGGATGCCAAAATATGAGGTAAATACATATGCTTAATGAATTAGTCCTCGTTCTCTACAAACAAACATTCTAACAGTAACGTCTAGCCAGCCTTTATGACGCGAAGTTGTGTGTTTGCAGGAAATAATGAATGGTAACCTCGAAAGGGAGACATACATTGGACATGAGGCTCAACACTTGAGAGGGGTTCTGGCTCTGAAGCATCCCATAAAGAACGGGATCATCCGTAACTGGGATGATATGGAAAAGGTAAGTAGAAATGTTTTTTCCAGATAGGGGAATGCTTTAGAACTCCCACATTTTCCCACAGCCAACTACCACATAGCAAATAAGGTGCTGCTTATACCCTCCTGGCATATAAGACCATGTCTTCGAAGACTTTCAGCCCATTCCTAGAACTCTAAATGCAAAGACAATGTAGAAACGGAGTAAGCCACTTGGAGGGAAGAAGGAAGGTGGGCGGGGGAGGAGTGGAGGATTTAAATGGAACGCACTCTCTCAGCACAAACTCTCATCGACCAACCAGCAGTAGCTGCTTTATACAAATCATCAGAAATCTCTGCAGACTCATTTTGACGAGGCAAAGGCGTCCTCTGCGGATAATTGCAACGCATCAGCACTTGGTAATTAGTTGCATCAGTTCCTGATTTAGAAATTGAATGGTAAATGGACCTGTACTTGTATAGCGCCTTTCTAGTCTTCCAACCACTCAAAGTGCTTTTACACTACGTGCCACATTCACCCTTTCACACACATTCACACAGCGATGGCGAAGCCCATCGAACAGAA